AATCTCCATGGATGGAGACTCCACAACCTGTCCAGGCAACCTGCTCCAGTATTCAATCACCCTTAAAATATGGGAGATAGGATAAATCACTCACTCTCAGTCAACCATTATACTGTCAAAAATAATATAAGCATAGTTATGCTGGAAAAAGGAAAAAAAAATCTAAATCCTTTTGAAGATGTTGGTTTTTTTCTGCTTAGAAAATTGGCCTGTAAATAATAGAAAAAACAGGTTGGTTTTTTTTCCCAGTAGAAGCTTCCTTCATGAGAGGACAGGTGCTTGACACTGTAAAAAGTAACATAGGACACAATCCTTGTCTCTAGCAATTTACAGTATGCCATCAAAGCAAAATTTAGGACAAAGAACCTCAAGTACCTAGAAACACACCTAAAAACTTGGAAATTAAATGTATGCAGTTTTCCAGGGCTACAAAATAGACCTGTTCCTTACTTTTTATGGATAAGTATACATATAAACTGAAATGAGCTAAATTTTGTTTTGATTTTCAAATTTCTTTAACAATATTCTACATAGCCTGAACATAAAGCTGATAAGAATAACTATTTCTTCTTTAGAAGGAAAAAGTAATGGAGAAATAATCACAAATTACTAAAAAAACAAGGAAATTAATGTTTAAAATTCATATGAGGAAGAAAATTTTGCTGAAACTAAACCATATATTTTATATATTGGAGTCAAATGTAAGGAAGTGTATTAACAAAACCATTCACAAAATTTTTCCAGGTATTTTAAATCACAGATCTAAAGACATTACCATCAGAGTCTCAGTGGAAATCTGATGCTCTCCATTAGAGGCCAAGAACCACATAAGAGCAAAATAAAATAATTAAAAAAAATAAACCAGAAAATATGCAAAATCTTTCTGTTACTTCACAAACAGCAAAACCGAGTCACTAAACAGAGTTTATATAATACCTTAATCTGACAAAAGACAAAACCCCAATGATCAACCAACTTTCAATGTGGAGGTTACCGCATAAACCCTTCTTTTCCTCCAGAACGTAAATATTAAGATTCATTCTTTCCCCAGATTTGTATCTTCAAAGAAGGCTACATCGTGGCTGATTTTCAAACATATGTAAATAGTCATGGAATACAGCACAAAAATGTTCACAGTGACAGTCAACTTCTAATAATTATTTTGATTGATAAAAATGTCTAATGTCTATACAATGTAAATTCACCTACTGTACAATCTCTTCCACCAAAAACCATACCAAAGATTTTTCAGCACTAGTTCACTGCTTTACGCATCATGAACTACGGAACAGAATCAGTTGTCTCAACAGATCTGCATCTCCACCAGGGCTTCTGCTGGCTGTATGAGGCCGGTACTATGATTTTTCTCCTCCTCCTGTGCTGTCGTGATTATGCCAGCAGAATACAGTTGGATGTACCAATCTTAAAATTTCAAAGCAAAGAACAGATATTAATTTATGTCTACAACACTGAGAAGCAAGCAGGTATTTTACATACCGAGAAATCAAAGAAAGGTGAAGTGCTTTGTCTAAAGGCACTTGGAAGAAATGAGTAACAAAGGCATAATTAAAATTCAACATCAAGCTTCATGTTAATCCTTTAGACCTAACTGCCTTTTTCAAAGTGCATGATTTGGAACATCAAAAATAAGAATCAGTTCAGTCCCTTTTCTTAGCACATGCTTTAATGATAAAACACCGCATCCAGCTTCTTCCTCTATATTGGCACGAACAATCACCTTTCATGAAATGAATTTGAAATAAAAAAAAATATTAAGAAGGAAGCACAGTTAAAATTTAAATTCCACATTTGATTTGGTCTCTACCTCTGTGTACTGAAGGACCCTCAGGAAAACACACATACATGCCAGGTATGCTGGTATACCAACTTATAGGAGACTGATTTAATTAGTTTTCAATGCAAAGGTGCAGCACCTCAGCAATTATGAGATCGTTAATACAACAGAGCATAACAGCACCTTTAGAAATCTTGCCTAACCTCTAGGCACACATATAACTCCCATTAAGGCTAATGGGAGTCACATGTGTGCATCCAAGGGAGAAGAGACCCATTAAAACCGATACAACATATCCATTAATCTTCAGGTCACTCTTAAGGTCAAACATTATAAAAATGTTTATGAACAGTACTTACTAGGTATGCACGGTGGCTACTTTGGTTTTAGGACAGACCCGTGAGCAGTTAAGGCCATGGAAAATGCTTTAAAAGCATCACCACATTTCAAGTAGTGGCACGGAAATTTGAGAGTGCTTTTCTGTAGTCAGAGAGGACATTTTTCTATCATCTCCTGAAAGAATTAGAAGGATAGAAATGACAGGGAAGGCTAGACATGAATGAAAACCTTGGACAAAGGTATGCTCTAGCTTTTTTTTTTTTGTTTTTTTTTTCCATCCCCCACTCTTTCTTCATATTTCAGTCCCTTAGTTGTGGTTTTCCACTTCAGAAAGAACGTTAACTGCAGTGACTGAATTCCTAATCTGTGCAGCCTGCTACAAAGACACTACAAATAAGATTTTGATTATTGAATCACCAGCAAACTGCAACAATTCAAGCACTGCTTGCAGGGAGGGAAGGGGTGTTGAAAGTTTTTCAAAGAGAAAGGTAACCTTAATTTGCTACTTATTTCATTCTGGGTATCTGAAAACTCGTTTTCACCACCGTAGCGTTGTTTAAGCAAGCATGCTCTTTTCAAGCTTAGAAAAAGCTAAGGCTACCCAGTCTGTAAAACCCATCTGATCAGCAATGAATTTGCTATCTTTGTCCACGTTGAGTCATGGGGAAGAGAGATTTCACAGAGATCATCTGGCCCCCATGTTGCTGAATGAAGAGAGCAGAAGGAACAGCAGGAGGAAATGCGAGTGTCAGAAGAGTATAGAAATGAGGACAAACTTCAGACATGAACCTCTATTTGTTTACTGTTTCTTTCAGGAACTGGAGTGAATGAAGAAAGGTGGCTTCACCAACAGTTACTCGTCAACTATTCTGAAACTCATCTTCCAGAACTTGTGTCAAAACCCTTATTCTGCATGTGAGACTTGCTCAGCGCTCCCCAATTACACTTCCTGTTACAAGGTCTGTAAGTACTCCAAGCGCTGACTACTTGGCATTGCGAGCTTTTGTTCAGGGACCTCGTATGACAGACATAGTTGCATCTGGAGTGTGAGGTCAAAACACCCACAGGAGGCTGGAGAACAACCTCTCACCCAGAAAGCACGGCTCCCGGAGACAGTCACAACAGTAACAGCCCCACCAAGGAATAGCACATTGCTCCAGTCTCAAGTTGCAGGTCCTCTATTGCCTTTCTCTGGTATGCCCATGTCACACAGGGTCTCACTTCACAAGGTTTTTTTTTGGAAGATTAATTCCATGATTCAATTAATTTAATTACTCCTCAGCAGAAATAAACAATTGCATGATTTTGTTTCAAAAACAAAGCAAAAATCACCCCCAGTACCTTGGTGTTTATAGCAGACTATCTAATCATTTGGGGGTGATTGTGTTTCCTTTATTAGTGGTCATAAGCTTTCCACTACAATGTCTTTCTGTGAAAGAAGAGCTGTCCTAGCTCAAAAGATAGTTACCTCATTTTGCTTGAAATGCAGTTTTTGTATAAAAAGATCTAATCCCCATTTTGTGAAATCAGCCACATCAATTAGCCTTATTCACTTCAAACAGTTCTTCTAAAAGAGGAATTACTCACTGTTAACAAAATTAGGCATCTGTTTTGAAGATGCTTTACTGTTGTGAAAAATTACATGTAAATATTCAATGAAACTGTTCTTTCAAGATCATAACATTCATAAAGGGCTGTATCCTGTTCTGTGACACCACAAGTAGTCCAGAGCGCTACCCAATTTCTTGGCCGAGTTAGAAAAAAGTGGTTTAGAATCCACCAATACGTGCCCGCAGAATCCCCCACAGCCTCCTTAACACAGATAACCTCAGCAAGGTATCTGAAGAATTGGGACCCTTAACATCACCTGTGAATCCGTATTCATGAATATGCAAACCCCAAACATAGTTTCTGTTTGGAAATAAATAAATCACCATTTGAGTATCTTTCAATTTTTGTGTTTAATAATCAATGTAGATTCCTCTTAACCTGTTTGTACAGTCACGTTTTAAAGAGTTCCCTTTAATTTGCTTTCTAGAACCGTAACAGCCAACCTTCCAATGCAGTTTTCCTCAACAAGCGTGTCATACGTCCAAATAATACCTTCTGAGTCACCTAAGCCACTACGGGACGCGGGAGGGAGGGCTTGGCTGTCGCTAACGCCAGTACCCAACCGATCACCCCGGCCCCAAGCCGCGCGGGTGCACAGCTGCCGGAGCAATACCTGCCTGCCGTACTTCACAGGCCGTTGCGACACCTCCTCCCTACTCTGCTCTGTTCCTCCCCTCACAGCCCTGTGGATCCTATCAGTAAATCCTACATAAGCCCCTCGCCACCCACGGGCGGCG